GAGGCATCCTCGTTTCCAGAAAGTCTTCTTCTACTCTGTCCGTTGTGTTTGCACTGTTTATCTGCTATTGAAGGCTTTCACAAAAAAAGGGGGATAGTGTGTTTTTCATGTTTCTTCCACTTGTTCTAAAAGAAAATGAGTATATTCACTGTATGTGGCATCCTCCATGAGTTCTTGGACCACTGGTTCTCCACCATGCGCCTTGGGATATTTACTTTATCATTGTGGTTCTCCATCTTTTGTTTTTCGCTGCTTTCTGTTTGAATTTTCATTGTAATGCAGTGCTGCTATGAAGGTCCTTAAAGGGGAAATTTAGAACAATTTTTGAAATATTGTCACGAATGACAAAGAGGCAAGGAGTAACCAAGGAAAATAGTGTTTAATGGGACAAACTAGTACCCAAAACAGAAGAGAATAACAGTACGCCGCGGGCGTTGAATCTGGGCGCAACAGAGAGGACAAGTGCTAGCTATAGACGGACTGTCTGCAGCCACGGGTGCACTCTTTTATAGCCATCACGTAGCGCCCAGGAAGTACTAGAACTAGAATAACACAATGTACAAGCGGACAATAAGGAGAACATGGAAGTTCTTTCTAGAAACTTCGAGAAACTAGATGAGGAATAAAAGAAAGAATATAATGTGCTTCCGTGGCTGGGAGTTTAACCCAGCGCTGCTGCGTGAAAGCCGGGCACGCAATCCACTCTGCTACGTCGGCCGCTTGGAAATACGGCAATATTAGGAAGCTCAATAATCCAATCCATACCTCGCATCCATGATGCTGTGCGAGTAGGCCACAGACTTGGGGGCAAACTGGATCAATGTCGAATGAAACGTCTTGACGCTTAACGTTTGACCCTCTGATGGCAGCTGTTTGACATCTTTTAAAAAAGACTTTGATGCCAGAATAGTGGCCAGCCTGTCGTGGGCATCAGTTCCTTCAAACAGAAAATTAAAATTGTAAATTCAGCTTTCCTAGAGGAATCTGCAATTGACAAAGCATGCGTTGGCTATTCTACCTACATATTCTGTTGAAACTTTACCAGAGGTCCACTATGTCTCTGCATAAGCTTGCAAATTCGTAGAATACTAAAATGCCTCGAGCAACACCACTCCAAGAAGTACCATTCGTGGCAAAATATAGCCATTTGTTCCCGCTTTTAGAATCTAATAACTAAAGACAACCGTCTTTTTTAATTTTATAAGAATTAGTACCTACAACTTTACGTAACTTGATGCCTACATGCACATGAAATCCAAGGAATAATAGCATACCCACATTTTCCACCCGAGCTGTTCCATAGGAAAAGCTGCCGCATAGCTACCTCTTTCCTGCTTTACTGACTAGATTCATTTGCATATCACAATTTCTATTGAACAGAGTTAAAAGCATCACTCTTATCGGAGAAACAAAAGCTTTCTTTTAAACCGATCGAAGATGTAAGAAGAATAAACATTGAGGACAGGGACTGAACAACCACTTCCTTCAGGTAGCAACGAACAAATATGAAATTGCAAGAGCGAGCAGCAGATTAAAGGAGCCAAATACCGAAAGAAGGGAAATATCATTTCTGGTTTCAGAAATTCGACTTCAGTCTTCGTCAGGAGGAATGAGGGGGTAGAAACATTGTTTTTTACGCTGTAAATAGCAATCGCCTCTACATTTTACCGGCCATATCTGCTATTATCCCCCCCCCCCCCAAATTCGTGTCTCATAAAAACAAGGGCTGCACTCGGTGTAAGATCGAGCGTGTGTGACAATGGGGAGAAAGGAATCGGGTACCTTGATTTAGGGCGGGTCCCCATCCTAAATGTTTATTCTTTCTTACATCTTCAACCTCAAAACCAACACGCTCCTAGAACGCATATTTCTTAGAAACATGCTTCAGTTTATTCAACCCTTCTCCAAGAGTGAAATTTCTTCTGAGCAAGGAAAGTCTGGACATCATGTGGGAAAACCGGAGACTGCGGTAATAGGATGAGGGAGAGTCGAAGAAAAAGAGTCAGCAATGACCTTCTCAAAGTCTGGACCTTTGCAACCTGTATTATCAGACCAATGTCCTGGCACTAGTTCATAATTTACATTTGAATGTCCATTAAAAGCACCACATATGCATGAACAATGTCTTAAAACAGTAATATCAGTATACTAAGGCGAGTAGTGTGATGCAGGCAAGAAAACTTTATCTCTGCACTTCTAATCATGCCGAAATCACCTGCCTTGTGTGATCTATTTTCTACGGTGAAGGGGGCCACGCTCGCAGGCTGGGAAGATCTCATTGTGGCCAGTGTGTACGTCACCGATGTGATTCAGCATTGACAACCACTTTGCCTGCATGGATTCTCCGTCTCCTCTACTAGTGGCTGCACAGTGGTACAGATGTTTGGTGATACTTTTTGTCCACAAGCCAATTCTCTCAAAACCTTTGCGACAGCATGCAGCCATCAGCTTTGTTTTTTATCCCTGAAAATAGAAGAAACTTATAGTGTACCTAAAATTACGTATTCCATCTTACTTTTCTAGGCAGCTATAAGCATACTTCTTACGTCAGACGTATCCGGAACCCAAAGTCTAAAGATACGTCGGACGTATCTGTATCCCAGAGTCTAAACATACGTCGCACGTACCCGGATCCCAGAGTCTAAAGATACGTAGGACGTACCCAGGACTCGTAGTCTTTGAGCATAGCAGCGATTCACATTCAAGGTGTTCGGGGCACCAAGTAGTATGCGGTATGCATCGCCGACCCTGAGCTCAACGGACTCAACCGGCTCAGCTGTCGAGTTTTGAGAGCAATGCTCAAAAGAGAATACGAAACTTACGAGACATAAAATGTTGCGTGCCGTTTCCGGCCGTTTTCTTCTCTGGCAGTCGAAGTTTCGTTTAGCGAGTTTTCAGTATGGTGCCTCGAAAGCATCTCTGACTGGGAGTTTACCGCGTCCAAAAAAGGTGGTCCCTCCATTTCCGCCTGGTGACGTCATAGAAGTGTCACGCTGTCGCCGGTCGCGATCCTGGCGGCATCCCAACAGCTGTGGCGTATGTGGCAGACGCCTGTTCTGCTGCAAGTCGCTCTCCACTGTGGAAGTTCACGGAAGCTTCAGCAGCCAGAACTTGGGACGCCGTGATGACAGCGACACTGGCGTTCGCTTGTGCTACTCGCAGCTTTTCGTTAGCATTTCTACGACCAACTGCCAGGATCGTGACATGCAACAGCATGATAAAGCCCCTCTATCATGGGAAAAGTGGCACCATTCTTTGAACAAGCCACAGCGGTCACTATTGGCCAGTTGTCACCGAAAGCCCTGCTTTCGTTTAGGACTTCCGGTCGCCATTACTTTCCCAAGCTGTTGCTACGCCGCAGCTAACGGTCGGTTGCGCCTGTGGAAAAGTTTGCCGGAGAGCCTTTCAGTGTTCCCTCTTGAACGGAAAATGAACCTCGGAGGAAAATCTTGCTTCACCGAATCGGTCGAAAAGATTCCAACCAGACGGGAGCCGTAAAGTTCTGCGAGGTGGGTGCTCTGTTTAAAGCTCACCAGAATGCAGACACAGCGGTTTATAGCAAGTTATGCACTCCCTTCCACCGTAAGTGCGAGCGATATAATAGCGATAACAACACTGCCGACTTGGCATGCACAGATGGCTGTGCTGCGGAAGCTTCGTTCAAAACGGCCCGCTCCTGCTCGTGCTTGGAGTATCGGCGTCGCTCTCACTTACGGGTGCGTGCGGAGTACGCTCGCTCATGAAGTGTGTCTTAAGGCCGGTTCAGACACTCGCGTTTGAGTGCGTTTGACTGCGTTGCGTCGAGTACCGAAAGCGAGTCACTGGCACGTCTGTACTTCGTATGAAGCGTAGAATTCAATTCAAGGAATCATCTTTGCACGCGATATAAGCAGCAGGGATGTGCTGGTTTTTCGCTGCCGCAACGCAGTCAAATGCAGTCAAACGCAACTGTCTGAACCAGGTTTTACATGCTCGTGTACCATGCTTTGTTTTGCACAAAGTTCATAAGCTTGCAAAGCTCTCGCGGCTGCAGACGCGAGCATGTAGAAGTATCTATACACCGGTTCAACATAAATGCGAGCGAATCAAGCGCGACAAGCACAAGTATGCTTTCTCTCCACACGTTAAAAATAAATAGTGACTCGTCTGAAGTCTTGGAGAATATAATTGCAATTTGGTGGTTTCGGGATGAATAAAAACGATTTGCGATTCCTGTGAAGCCGAAGGGGCGGACAGGTAGACACGAGACACTGACCAATAACGCAACTCGGTAGGGATGGTCGGGACGATTATCCAAAGCACTTTTAAGATGCATGGTTGGACGAACAGATCTAAAGAGGCTTCAGGGCGGTCGGATGCAAATGTGGCTCCAAATGAGGGCATTGCCACACTTGTACGACAAGAAAAGTCCACACGACCGGCATCACGCCGCTCCAGCTGACCGAGACGTCGATACGCTTGGGAACTTCCGGAGGGCGCTTCGTCGCAAACCGGAAGTTAGAGGTGGGGTGAGGAGGGTTTTTCGGAGGAGGAGGGAAGAGAATGCACCACTTTTCTCAGATACAGGGGCTTTACAGCATGACACTTTGGCTTTTGTGACGTTATTTGTTAACATTTTGGGGCCATTTTTGATGTATGGGTAACATAGGACACTAAACACACCAGTCGAAGGCGCTCCCCAGGCAACATAGTTTCGAAAGAAATGAGATTACGAAACTAACGAAACATGAACCGTCGCGTGCCGTTTCCGGCCGTTCCCTTCACTGGCGGTCGAAATTTCGTTTCGTACAGACATGCAAAGCATGCAGTGTGTGAAAAAGGATCGTCGGGTCACGGCTCCTGCCTACCGATTTTTGCGCTTGTATGATGCAACGTTGCTTTACGTGCCTCTGATGGCGTAAAATACCGACAAGGAGCGACCCTTGGATAGCACATATAGAGGTGTACGAAACTCTTTTCTGCAACTGCACCATAGCAGTAATTTTTGGGGGTTAACACTTTTATAAGAATAAAATAGCATACTTTGTGAGGAAATAATATTTAACTTTTTGCAACGTGCCACAGTCAAACAGACGCTTAATATCTGGATGTTGTTCCCTCAGGCACTTCCTTATCTGCGAATGCCTGTCAGTGACCAATGTATGGATATGGATACTCCCCATCCTTCAACGTGCCGTATGGACAGTACAAGGCCTTCGAGCACCATGCGGGCACTGCCCCCAAGTTTGTTTGATTGTAAAATAAAACAAAATGTCAGTTAACAGAACACGCGAGCAGTCAAGGCTGATACGAACATAAAAATCCAAGCCTTAGAGTGACATCTGCCATTTTTAAAGAGACAGCACCTTCAGAAGCATACCCCTCAAACATTTATGTCTCGATGCTAAGTGTTGGCTTCAACTACGATTCGAATAAGACATTCATAGCTGACAGAGGTCTTGTTTACATGTGTGAGTTATCTCAGAATTCGACCTGAATTTAAGGTTCTGCTGCATGCATTAGCACAACCAGAATTTTTCTTTCTTGGGAAGGGAGGTGGGGGGGGGGTCTCGGAAACTGAAACGAGTGCCGTGTGGAAAGGTTGGCCAATAGCTGCACTTCAAAACTTGTGGCCTCCTTTTTTCTCTATCTTTCTCTCAGCCCCCCCCCCCCCCCCCACACACACACACTATACACAAGCACTATGTAAAAAAAACTCCGATCATCCCTAAGGCAACAGTAAAGTGGAAGCTGCATGCTCGGCGGACCACTCAACCGTCAGCCTTATGTCATGTGATCACACTCTCTGTTCATACGCACCTGCAGCGAGGAACGCCAAGCAATAAAAGGTAGGCGAGTGATTGGTCCATCGCACAAGTAGCGTCCCCCTCATTATCAGCTTAAAGGTGAACAGAGTATACATGTTCGCAAATCCGTGCCAAGTCTCGCTTACCAACTGCACAACTGTCGTCAGTGACTCCGTAGTAGCAGCTGTGAGCCTTTGACAAGAATAACATTGTTTCTCTACAAAACAGTCGTATATAGCTGAAATCAAGAGCTTGCTGGTAACGGAAGTTAGATTCAAGGAAAGACAGCCTGACCGTCCTCGTGTCTTTTGTCTTCCTTTACATCTAACCAGTCGTGTGGATTACTCAAACGTTTCCAAAGTATGTCGAGTTATCATGACTTCGTGCTCAACTTCGCCGACCATGCTAAAACTAAAAGCAGACGTAAAATTTTCCAATTGGCCTACAGGCGAAAATGGACCATAAAAGTAACTGAAATTCTGGACTTAGGCTCAAGCCGGGAACAACCAATGGAAAAGGATATGTTTCCACTTACTTGGACCAACTCCGCATGCAATATTTTGTTTGTTCTCTTGTCCAACAATGTGTAGTTTCCATTTTTTGTCGAAAATCCTGGTGAATCGGCGCGCCCATCACCGGCAAGTGCAACAGGCAGCTTAATCTTCTCCAGATGGTCTTTTTGTGCCTCATTCCAAACCTGAAAGAGTAATATACATAACTTCAATTCTTCCCTTTCCCATTTTTATTTTGCAGACAGAGTCAGATACTGGTGTTTACTTGTTGCACTGCAGGCAACAGAAGATCCGTCTGGTATCGGAAGAATGTTCTCGTGCAGTAGGTCGCTACTCCGATGGTGGTCAGGAGCCTCAACGTCGTGCTTGGGCTCAGGCCAGAGAACAATATTCCTCCAGCCACCATCAGGTTTCCAAATGATGTTTTCTCCGCCGTTGGCTGGCTCTCCCACGATCTAACGTGGCCATCGGAACATGTCGTCCAGATTTTAACTGACGTCGCAGAAACGCAGACCTCAGGAAGAACACTTTTGTGGCATTTTGGGCACGATGCAAAGAGCGCCAGCAACTTTCTCTTATGTACAATGAACCTCCGCTCAGTGGTTAGAATGGAGTTGCTCTCGGATTCAATGGTCGTCCTGAAAGTAAGGTATAAATGTGTCACAAAGAGTCTAGTTTACATTAAAAGTAATCTTACTCTGCACTTGTTTCGCACACTGAGGGAATATACGATAAATCAACTTCATTGTTGGCGACACGTTCTTCCATTTCGTGATCGAAGTTGCCAAGATCAATGGTCACCCTGAAAGTAAGGTAGAAATGTGTCGCAATGAGTCTAGTTTAGATTAACAGTAATCTTAACCTGCACTTATTTCATACACTGAGGGAAGATACGATATGTCAACTTCATTGTTGGCGACACTTTCTTCCATTTCGTCATCGAAATTGTCCAGGTAATGCTGAGGCAACCTGCCAGGTGGTCGTATTGGTGAGGACTACCAGTAAGGAGGCTTTCATCCAACCTCAGTTTGTGACGAGGTGCTGACCAGGTTGGCTGCAGAGGAGGGAGTGTGCACAGCTGAATGGAACATTCAAACATTTCAAACATTCAAACATTTGGAACATTTCAAAAAATCGGGGTGAAATAAGTGTGACGCAAACTCTAATCACTGCATCACACAAATATTGCATTCTCAAAAAAAAAATTTACAGATATGATTACCGGTGCATGCAACTTTTGGTGTTGTCTGGCATCGCACATTTCTAGATTTAGGCCTCATTGCCACTTGTACCGACTTGGTTGCCATACTGGGTGTTATCTGGACTGGCCGTGAAGTGCTGCATGGCTCAGCATCGGCCTTATCTGGAGATGACGCTTCCATGGTAGTCATCAAACCGATGCTACCTGTCACTGCAGTATTGAACTGTGAAGCAAGTGGCTCATCGACGATATGCGAGTCAAGCAAACAACGAATAAGGAAACTGACTGTTGAACTGGAGACAGAGTGATCGGAATAGAGGGCCAGAACAACTACAGCTGTCTTGAGTTGGTGAGGTGGGTTAGTTGATATAGAGAAGAGATTATGAGTGAACAACTAAGGGCACAAAGAAAAAGACAGCGCACTGGCGTGCTATGCACGCTTTTTTCATTCCTTTTTTTTCGCTCTGGGCAGCTTTTTGCCCTGGCTTCCAACAGATGTTTATACGAAATAGCACAATTGAATGCCTTCACTGCAGGGATGTGAAACTGGTAGGGAGAATGAAATCTTGGGAGAACAAAAGAAAACTGTCAGTGGTATAGTGTTCAAAGTAAAGCACAAAGAATCCCAATGGTTAGGTTCTTTGTGTTCTCAGCTGTTTTCAAATGATTGCAGCTTCCGGTCAGTTTTAAGTAATTTTTGCTTCTGTCTGAAAAGTATTCGGAGGCACCGTAGTACGCTGTTTTCACATTATTGCAGTATCTGGTGAGTTTAAAATAATTTGCTTCTGTCTCAGTAGTATTCGGCAGCATCTACGTAACATATTCGCAAGTCATGCGACACTTTTTTTTAACACTCGATCTGTCACTTTACTGATAGTGTTGTAACACTACTTTGTTGGGACCTTCTAGATATTTTGTTTCAAAGCTTTGACAGGTGGCTCATGGCACGAGGGTTCGTGTAGCAGAGCTAGATGTTATTCCTGTGGTGATGCTTGATTGCTAGCCGAAGCCGACAGCACGCGATCACAAGGAAGGCACTTTAGTTCTGGAAAATTTCGTCGACAACATTGTCTTTTTTTCAGTGTTGATCGTAAAAAAAATGTCGTAAATATCGCCAAATGCCTCGACAAAACAAGATGTTCGAGAAAAAAAAAGTAAGCCCACACCGCGTAATGAACCCCCGGCCACTTGCACATGAAGCAGACATCATACCACTACGCCATTCCCCCGCTTAGAAAGCTGGTTGTAAGCATTCCTTTTATACGAGTTTCGTCCCTTTCCGGCCGAGGTGCACGACGGAGTAATATAATCTGTTGCATTACATCTAATCATTGAGCGCGTGCTTGTAGCTGTGCTGCGGTAAATCTTAGTGCGAAGCAGTGAACACCTCTTTTATACGCCTAAACATAAGGAACATACTTGATACCGCGATTAAAATCAATCATCGCGCGCACTCCGGCTGTTCCTTGTACACACATGTTGCGACATACGTATGCACGTACCTCGTTGTTCCCGATCGGTGGTAAACCAACGAACAGCGTTGGCACTGCACCGTGCCTAAGCCGGATAGTCTTAAGGTGTAGTCCGACAGAAGATCGACAGTCGTCGATGTCCTCATAGCAGTCGGCCGTGAAATGGGCCGCGCAAGATATCGTTGAATCCGAAGGCTCCCAGCCGTTTTGCGCGACTCCTACCTTCCACCTGTTCCGCATCGACGGATCCTTCGGGAAGTGGAAAAATGACACAGCCGCCCCCTTCTTCTGCGCGTTAAAGCACCCATCCGCAAAAAATACTTTGACTATTCTCGCAATGCGGCCGAGAGATTCAGGCAGGATCAGGTGCCAGACTAGCCAGACGCTATGCGGCAGGGCCAGCGGGGCGGCGGCCCCTGTGCTCGCAAGAGTGCCTAGGCGAAGAGATTCGCCGAGCGTGGCGAGCTCGAGTCAGAATCACGTGACCCATGGACTCCACGTTGTGACTATTGAAGGCAGGGGTTGCCTGACGTAGCCACCTGCCTGAAGGCAGGTGGCTACGTCATATTCTTTCAGGGTTGCCTGATCATTTCTTACAAAAGATCAACATCAGAAAATTGATTTTTGCAATTACTAGAGCTCCAAAATTAATGAAACTTGTTGTGAAGACTACATGACACATGCAGACCTCATATCTAACTCCCACAATATTCAGGTCATAGCACCTTTAACATGCATTACGCAGTTGTGATATACGACCGCACGCCGGCACGATGTTCATCCAGATCGAAACTGGCAGGGTTGGGGATTGAACCTAGGATCCCTGGGCTCTGTAGCGCGAGCTTTCGCTCTACGTGCTACAGGTTGGTGTTTTCTAGCCTACTTGGCCGCCGATCACCCCTATGGCTCCGGAGGGAAACATGTCTTCTGTTTAGACACGCACAGCAAGTTAGCAACTGGATTACACCGCTGTATGCACTGTGAGCTGTAGTGATTTGGATGGTCCACAAAAGAAAAAAACGCTATACTTGGAGACAAGCTAAAAGTAAACGCTGGGGACGGGGTCGCCTCCTCTCGAGCGTTCACTTTGCAAAAGCGGAAAGAGATGGAAGGAGCTTCCGCTACATGTCACCGACTATAATTACCGCGCTTCATCTCAAAACTGAAAATCATTCTCAGCAATTACCACTCGAAGCAAAAAATGCACGCTTCCTTCGATTTGTGTGCATGTTTATGAGGCAAAAAGCGTAGTGCTTCTTCTTCTGTTATTCCCATTTAGCGACTCAGCCAGCAATATGTTCCAAGGAGGGGGGGGGGGGGCGACACTAAAAGCTTTTCCCGCCTCCCCTTTGCCTACGTCACTGGTATATTGTCAGCTGTACGTGAATTTAAAAATCTCGAAACAACCTGTTTTACTGAGCCGCAAAACACGGCATTCAATTTAGACCAAACCATACAAAATTAAACTAAACGCATATTTTAGCACAAAATATAAACTTAAAACAAATATCCAGTGGATGATTAAGCAATTGCATGTCTTCAAAAAAAAATATCAAGTTGAATTAAGATATTGAACACCGTATGTTTGAAGAAGGAGATTGACATAAGTTGATGTAGATTTCAATCAGCAAACCAAGGTTATCAAGCATCGTATAACATGCAGCAGAAGAAGCTGGGAAATTATGTCTGCTCGCATTCGATTGACTTCAAAGTTCGTACAGAGCGCGATAACCTCAGTAATGTCCACGTTAGTGACACCGGCCACGGAAATATGAGCTGTGATATAGTGGGGCCGAAACCGAAACTATTCAGTCGTATTTCAATTCCTTGTTTCGTCCCAATCCAAAGCCACAAGCAGCTTCAGGATTCTTGTCCGCCTGTGGAGACAAAATCCTGTTTCTCGAAGTGCGCTGGTGAATCCATGTTTAGGTATGTTTTGCCGATTTCATGTTCATAATCCATGCTAGAAGAATATCCAAATATGCTAGATGATCGTCCGAACAACGTAGGGCACGTTGCCACCGTAATTGTTTCAACGATTTAAGTGGAAAAAAGTGAAATCGTCTCAGCACTGGCCGGCGGTGGCTGCGCCGCGATCTTGAGAATGCTGTGAATGTTCTGCGACAATGGAGCACTGCAAGACGCTGACTAGATCGTTCCTAAAATTCGCGTTGCTGTCAGTGAACTGTTCTGTGTTGTTAAACCCTTGGATACGGATCTTCGTAAAAACGACATGGGTGTGTTCAGGAGGTTGACACTCATTAAGAATTTGGTGGTCTTTAACTTGGCCTGTCGTCTCGTCCTTCCTTACGCTAGCGACACCGTTGGGTTGTGCCCGTGTAATATTTTAACTTGAAAAGGGGACCAAGACTACATGATAAAACCAGGTGGTTACCGTCGGGTGACAGAAGCAGACGCCCGGAGGCGTAAAGAAGCAGTCCACCCAAATCAAAGGTGAGCGAGCATCTGTTCTCTTTTCCGGCAAACCCTAGGCTCGTGCCGTTCGCTCGTGTTTACTACGTCATGCTCTGTACCAGTCGGCATGAGACCGGTAGCGCCATCTCTTTTTTTTAAATTCAAATATTACAACATTCTTCCTCTCTTAAAAGAAAAAGAAAACGTGGGAGGGGAGAATTACGTTAGGACAATTAAATATTCAAGGGAAAGAATGCACTAAAAGAACTTTAACAAGTATAATTATCGTATTTCACAGAAACGCCCTGAAGTACTGCGCAAAAAATATCGTGATACCTGATACTGCGCAAAGCCTTAACACTGGCAGAAAGTCTTAGTACCTGCAGTACACAAAAGTGACACGCCACAAAAAAGAAAAATTGTTCACACGATCGTCTTTGAGAGCACAGCTTCCTCAAAATATTCCACGTAAACGTAGTTCAACTTCCACTTCCCAAAATATTCCACGTAGATGTAGTAAGTCCGACTTCCCCCTCCCATTAAGAATAAAGTTGTACTTGTAGGTAAATGGCTTTTTTAGGATATTTCAATATAATGATACATGCTACAACAAATAAAATGTCCAGGACACCTTTGCGAGTGTCGTTATTAGGTTAGTAGTGTGATAAGCATGCAGTGTAGTTTGTATTCAATGTTTGCCATGGACATTTGTTGTTATACCTTGGCCAAGATTTTCCTATGACAATGAGACTATATTCGCAACTATGCATGATAACCTATTTAAAGCACATCACTGGGCTCGGCCTGCCCACTGCTAACTGACACCGCCATGGCTTAGTGTTTT